GGGGATTCCCCAAAACCCCCAAGGGGACCTCAGGGAACCAAGAGTCCGCCGCAGTCACTTTCTCCAAACTGTGGCAGATATGGCCCGTCCTTGGGGCAGCCAATGCATGCAGCCTCCAGATCGAGGCAAACCGGCTGTCGAGACGTGTTGAACAGGGGGGAAACCAAGGTGAAAGATGAACCCAAAAGGAGACACCCTTACTCCTCCCCCCACCCGAGACGGGGCCAGAGGCACCCAAGTCCCGGCGGGAAGAGATCACACGACTCCACATCCAAAAGGGTTGTGAGACACGACCTAGCGGCTCTCACCCTTCAAGATCGCCTCCTTTGCCACCGAGTGGATGGCCGCCAGCCCTGACTTCTCCGGGTTGCTCAAAATGACCGACCACAACACAGTGAAGGCATCCCCCAGGCCATTCGAGCAGCTGAAGCGCATGCGCGGGGTGCTCGCGTCGCCCAGGACTAGCCTCTCGTCCCTGGGAGGCTCCGTCGGCTCCACCCTCTTGTAGAACTCCATCCTGTCCCGGATCCACTGATTATATAGCTGCTCCGGGGGCTCGTCCATCACCAGCTGCAAGCATGTGGCCTTGTCTTTGTGCCACCCCGTGATCTGGAGCAGCCTGGTCCCCCCGCGGCTCGCCCTCCAGAAGCCCTTGCAAAACCTGCACATGTAGCCCCCGGTGGTCTTGAACTTCTCCTTTGCCCACCACTTCCCAGGCGCTGATGCTGGGCAAGACCAGGCCGCACTCCACGGAGGCCCAAAACACGTGCTTCGTCTCCTTGGGGAAGTGCTTGTTGATGTACTTCCTGCCTGCGACCGCCGTGACCGTGGACGTGGTGATGGGCGGGTACCGCCTGGTGCCCTGGTCCGGTGTGCGGAGCGTGGTGTCTGCCCCCCCCAGAACCTTGGCCTTGGGGTCCGACTCCTTGGCCGCTCCTCCCCCGGGGCCAGAGGCACCCAAAGGGGGGGAGCAACCCACCTCCGGATGAGGTCCTGGGAGTAGCCCAACCTGTCGTACAAGGCCCCCGCCGCCTCCTGCCCAGTCGTGGACCACGTTGCAACGCCAGTTGACCTTCACCTCCACCATGGAGGACTTGCTCAGGCCCGACACCAACTTGGTGTAGACCGAGTCGAAAGCCCGCAGCGATGACAGCGGGAGGGTGATCCGCTCGTCGCAGACCGCCCGGAAACGCAGCGCCTCCTTGCTGTCGTGGACGGGGGCCACTGGGATCTCCATCACCGGCAACGGGCAGTTGACGATGAAATTCTTGGCCGCCAGAAACGTCCCCATCTCCTTGAAGATGTAGCTCCATTCCGCCTTGCTGCGCGGCTTGGGGATGCCCAGGCTCTCAAGGAAGGGCACCGCCTCCTTCCTCATCTGGAGGATGTTGCCCATCCACTTGTCCGAGGTCGAGCCCTCCGCATTGCGGCCCCGGCGCTGCGTCTTCACGATCAGCGGGAAAGTGGTCCAGGCCGAGTAGATGTACTTGAAAGTGAACCTGTGGGCGTACACCCCCGTCAGGCTCGGCAGGTCCCACGTTCTCGTCTGCCTGGTCCAAAACACCCCATCCCCTTTTGCCCAGAAGATCCCCACCACCTGCTCCGGCGCCGGGCGTTCGCCCCGGTTCACCTGCGCTCGGATCTCCAAGGCCGTGTAGATGACTGGGTCGATGTGGTCCTGCTCGCACGTGAGTGGGTGAGTCCTGCGCTCCAGGGCCAGGAGCTCCTCCGGCGTGAGCTTGAATTGCTGGTCAGCGCCCTTAGGGATCTCACCGCTCGAGTGCTTCTTCCAGATCCCCCCAAACATCCGTAGCTCCCCCTGGTGCCTCTTCATCGCCCAGAGGAGCAGGGACAGCTTGCCCTCCTCCGAGTCCAGGTCCTGCTGTGACATTGGCTGGGCCAGTGGCACTCTTGGGGGGGGGCCGGTGTCGCCAGATCGGGCATCTCCTCCAGCAGCGCCATGGGTTCTGCGACTCTCTGAGCCTCCTGATGTAGGTTAAGCATCCATGCCTGGTTGGTGTCCTGGGTGCGCTTGTTCGCCTCCTGAGCCTCCTGAATGGAGCCCATCGCCTCAGCCAGTGCCTGGCTGGCGTCAACGCCCTTCCCCTCGAATCGCTCCAGGTTGACCTTCCTGAAGGCACGGGCTCCCTCATTGGCCACCTCCTCTGACGGCAGGGCCTGCATGCCCTCCTGGAGAGGCGCCAGGATAGCCATCTCATTGTCCAGCATCTCCTCCGTGACCAACTCCTTGTGCCGTCGCCTGGCCGAGGACTCTTCAGGGGTCAGTTCCCGATGCTCCCTCAAGGCCTTATGCAGCTCCGATTGGGGGTGGTAGAGCTGGAAGCTCTGCGCCTCCGCCTCCTTCAGGGACCGCTGCACTTTGACCTTGATCTCCTGGCATTCCCGGACCTTCAACGCCTCGTCGTCCGCCTCCATGGACAGGATCTCCTGCCGGATGTCCACCCGCCTGTTAAGCGGGACCACGTCTGCCATGGTGATCTCCTCTGCCGTGTCCGTTTTCGGAGGAGCTCTCCCCAGGACCGTGCCGTCCACCAGGTTGCGGTCTGCCTGTGCCCGGGTACCACCGGGGCCAGCGGCACCCAGGCTTCCCCCTTTCCGCTGCTGGATCTAGGTCGGCTTGCCCTCCACAATGAGCAGGTTGTAGGTGATGCCGTCCGCCTCATAGGTAGCCGAGGGTGCCTGGAAGGGGACGAACTCCTTGCCTGGGCAGACCCAGCACTGCTTGGCTGCCTCTGGCCACCCCGTGCCGCATGCCTTGCACATGAACTTGTAATCTGAGTGGCCTGCATCGAGTCTGTGCATCCGCTGGGTGCCAATGCACGCCTTGTTCCTTTGGAACTGTGAGGCCCAGACCTCCTCCTGCCGGATCTGGATCTTCATCGGAACGTAGGCCTCCAGGATGCGAATCACCAAGTCCTCCGTGAGATTCTTCCCGACAAACTTGTGGAACAGGGAGACCGCCTCCTCCACCGTGACGTCCCTCAGCAACGTGGCCGCCGATGCCGGAAGGACCGGGAAAAGGTCTGGGAGGTCCACTAACTTGAAGTAGCCGGGACGGCCCTCCACCGGCACCAGGGAGACCGGTTTGTTCACATGAGCCGTGGTCTTCTGGGAAGCCGCCACGAAACCCTTCAGCCTCTTCGTGGGTGGTGTCTGTGCCTCTTCCAGTGGAGTAGCCCGCTCCGTGACGTCCGCATCTTCCATGTCCTTGTCCTCCTCCTCGGCGGGGCCAGGGGCACCCAAGCCGGAAGTCGGTGTGGCAAACGCCACACGGAGACGCTCCAGTGCACTGGAGAGGTCATTCATCACGTCGGTAGCCGAAGCCGACGGGGGGGCCTCGGGCTCGTCCAACACCAGGCCGGCCGCCACTGCCGCCTCGCGTGTGCGAATTTCCTGGGCCTCCTGGCTGGCCATTTCCACCTCCTCCGCGGTGAGCGTCTGGTCCTCAATCAGCTCGAAGGAGGTTGCCGAGGTTGCCGAGGAAGCCATTGCTTGATCGGGGTTAGTTCGAGGGTGCTCAAACTCCAATTTTTTTTCTCACACAAATTGGGTTCAAAGAACCCAGGGCACAGCTTGAGCCAAAATGGCATGCGCCATTATGGTCAAGCATTTCAAACACAGTTCATGTTTCCACATGCGTTTCAACATTAACAAAAACTAAGCTTGGTAAACATTGCCACGCATTAAAGTGTTCAGGACCTTGTCGTACATGCTTCGAGGGTTACCCGAAAACATGGTCGGATCGCTCACTCGCAATAGGTTTGTGGCGCTCACCGTCATTTTTCCTTAAGGTGGCTTTTCCAAAAGACACGCCCCCCATGCCAAAGTCGGCTCTGAGCCTCGTTTCCAAGCGAGGCAACGGGGAAAAAGAAAAGACACGGCCAAAGTGTCGGTCCACGGAGTGGACTAGGTCAGTCACCCAGGAAGTAAAGAAAACACATGAACTAAACAAATTTCTATTGTTGGCCATGTCCTTCTTGTTTGGGGTTCAGTTTTTTCGTAATGTGATCCTTCCAGGGAAGCCATTGACCCCCGTCCAAGTGGCAATGGTTTCACGTTGGTTACCGTTTCGAAAACCATTCAACAGGGTTGGGCCCCTTTGTTCGAACATGGCTAAGCCACTTTTGTTCAAACAGCCTTGTTTTGGGTTTCCTTTGCAGGACATGGGCAGAGTCCGATGAGATCATCATGCCCCATCGATTGAAACGAATCCCTTGGAGACAAAAGCAATGTTGACCACTCACCAAAAGCGGCGCCCCCAAGTCACGCTAAGCAAAGGTGTGAACCAGCACTAGAAACCCAAAACGTACATGCACGTGCTTTGTCTGACCGGTTGCCCATCCCATTCTTTCACCTCTCAGTTGCCCAAGGGCCATCCAAGAAGAAAAGAAGTACCTGCTCTGGTCAAGCTTTCATAGAATCTGATTCACCGGAAAGGCAAAGGCATGTTGCGGAATGTGCAACTTCCAACGATCGGGTGTTCCATTCACCCAGGCCAATGACCGGGGCGGCTATTTTCATCCGCGTGAAATCAAAGGGCCACGCTGCGAACTTCTCCAGCACAGCCCCCAGCCTCCCATTCGTTCCCCTTCCCCTTCAGCCTTTAGTTCACTGCCGATATTTGCTTCCCGCGGCGTTTTCCGAATTTTTGGGGAAGGACGACCCCCCAAAAACGATGTCCACTTCGAAAACTAACCCGAACCTTGGATTGATGGACCTAAGACTGCTCAGGGTATGAAAGCCCCTTTTTGTAGATATCATGCATGCCCATGGGCACGTGTCGAACCCAGGCTGTAAATTTCAGTTGGGAACCCACCTGCGTGGGTATTATGATAATATCGTTTATTGAGGTGGTCCAGCAGCGAAGATATCTATCCTCAAGCAAGCGGAAGAACCTCTTTCAGCTAAAAAAACAAAACACAATTTTGACGTCCGATGTCCAACGCCTGGGTGCCGCCCATCGCTTGTCTCCGAGGTGCGTCTTGCAGCTCCTTGTAGTCCTGCTCTAAGGACGCCATCTTCTCCAGGTCCGTCGCGGACGCCGACTCTCCGAAGATGGCCCGCTCCAGCGCGGCGATCCCTGGGCCGAAGCGGCGCGTCGCTCGGTTCGCCGCATCGAAGCGAACGGTTCTGCCGAAGTGGAAGAAAGAAAGCCGGAGAGGGAACTTGTAAAGGAAACTGGGGAGGAATTGGGGAGGAATTGGGGAAAAGCGGAAGAAAGGACGAAGAAACCTTGAAACAACGCCTGCAAATCGGAGATTGCGGCAAGTCCTTGTAATGTCCCATGTTTGGTGGTAGTTTGGAGGTCAAGGAGCCGGAAGGAACAATGGATGTTTGCCTCCAAAAGGGAGGAGGTCAATGAACTACAAAAAGCAAACAACTCGCGAATTAATTCCAACAAATATGGAGGTGGACAGCGAGGGGGGTTTGGAACCATGGCCTCAAGAAAGGTGTTCTTCCACTTGCATTGGAAAGAGGACAGGATGGCAATATCAAAATGAGCAAGGACGATTTGCGCACCAGATTGCAAAGAAGAGGCTTGGGTTGCAGGATAGTTTCCAGGAAGTCTTGTCCAAAACCAACAAACGAAATGATCAGGCCAATTTGGATATGCTATTCAAGCTCCCAAAGTCGCAGCATTCCGTGTTTCGTTGCAACAGCTTAGCTGTACAATGTACCATAACTCCAAAATTGGAAATCAGGAATTTTCCAGTAACGAAGCTTCATCATGGAGCTTGTTTTAATCCGGAATCGGTAAGCGCACTGCGATTGCCTTTAGCGCAAGTTGAAGTGAGTGCGGGGTGGGGAGTAAGCTATGGAATGCCGCATTCGGTGCTCGAGCGAAATCCCAGCGTCTCGCCCGTCGGCAGTTCGGTAATCGTTGGGTAACAGTTGGTTTACAGTCGGGTGACAGGGAGAGGTGGCATAGGAACAGTTGGGTGAAGGATTTGCCAGTTGGGTATCTTCTGTTGAGGGTAGTGTTTTTGAGGTAGTTTAAAAAGGGTACGAAAGGAAAAAGCGCCGTTGTGGGGCCCATGTCACAAATCTATCTGGGGATATCAGGGAAAAGAAACAAGATTACGAAGCCAATTCAAACAGATCGTACCAACCTCCTGAGTTGTTGCCTGCAAACATCCCCACTCTGGCCACTCTTGCTTCGATCTGCACACGCGGGCTGGAGGTTCAAAGCCATATGAAAGCTGCTAAACATAGAAGCGCGTGTATGGATGCACCTTTAGGGCTTGATTGCCGGTGGGTCGATCAGCGTTTCGACAATTGCCCTCTCTCCAACCATCATGAGGGAAGCAAACTTCAACAGGGAACCTCCTGAAAAGTGGCGGGGGGGGCATGAATCCCCGCCTAGATGATTTCCACCAAAGAGTCACCAACTCAAATTCATACCCATCGTTAGGAAAGAATACGCTCCCACCCACTAGCATGACACTTGACAGGAAACCGGCCCCTGCAAGGAGAATGGCTTTGAGAGGAGCTTGATCTTCCCGGCACCTTTCCACAGGTGCTTGCCATACGCGGAAAGAAAGGTATTGCCTTCCTACTGTCAAACATGATGTTCCCATAATGGACTTTGGAAAATGAGTGAGTCCCCTGCTCGTGTTGAAATTATGAGCGCATCCCCATGTCCTGCTAAGAGTTGAGCTGAGGCGCGGTTGGGGAGAGTGACCTTCTCCGTCTGCGTAGCACCCTCCATGGCCATCTTCTCCATCTTGGCAACCTGGGAAGCTGGGAAGGAACAACAGGTGCAGAAAGGTGCTGCAAGACTTCAATGGGTTGACAACCTCACCAACATTCAACCCATTAGAGGGCCCTCTTGGGGAAAATGGTGTCTTCCCAGGGGGGCTCCAGTGATGTTTCATGGCAGGGTTGCCTTTTGGGATTGGTTCAAAGCAATGTCGACCCACTGATGCACCTGGGTTGATGAGTGGGCGCGCATATGAGAAAGGATCCGGATCACTTTTCCGGATTCCCCAAGAAATGCACCTTAATTGAGGTCGCATGGCTCGGAACCATGTCTACTTGAGTTGCTTCCCAAAAGCCCTTGCTCGTATGGTCGTTTAGGAGGTAAAAACCAACCAACGATGTGCCCAGACGAGAACAAAATGCGCAGTTCTTGCACGAGGCTCCGCCAAATTCGCCCTGAGACCCCCAAAATGGTTGGTCTTCATTTGATATCGCTCCCACCGCCCCAAGGCTTGAACCTTAGAAGGCTTCTAAGAACTATTTTTGGTGGCGGGGGCCCAGAATAGAGCATGTCTACACAAGCGTGTCTTTTGTTAGGGCACCTCCCCCCCCCTGCACCCAAAACCCCCCAAAAAATAAACAAAAAACAACAATAAAGAGGTTGTCCTTTTGGCGTTCCTTTTGACTTTCCAGCAAAACTACTGAAACAAGGGTACCGAGCCTCAAACCAACCACCCACACCCCGTCCGAATCGACCACAAAATTCGAGGAGCGGTGGAGAGGGCCATGGTCCACACCTTGGCGCGCAACTTCTCCCGGAGCTCCTCATTCTTCGCTTGGAGCTCTTCCTCGGAAAGCCGAGAATTTGTTGCCGAAAGCCCCGCCTTTTGGGGAAGCGCTGTTGCAAGACAGGGTTGCCCCAATTATGGTGTCCTTTTCAAGCCAGGAAAAGCGAGGAACCTCCAAAAACCGCACGACCATTTGAAGAGGAAGCCAAAAGAAGAAGCAAACCAAAGCGAAAACCACCCAACACCAAACCGAGCTTCTATCTTGGCAGGTTTCTTGTTTTTCTCCGGTCCTTTTTAGACGAATCGGGCTGTTCAAAAGTGTATCGCAACTATCTATGCCTCTGAAAAAGTCGAAGCCGACATGTCTCGGCAAGTGAGTATCATTCACCGACGGGTTCCTGTTGGGTTCTGGTCCTGGTCAAAGGCAGGGGTTCTATTCACCGACCGCGCATTCTGCCAGTGTTGAAAACCGGTTAAAACAACGGTCCCTCCAGAAAGGGACAAGGAACCACTTGCTTCATCCCTGTGGACTCGAAAACAGGGCATCCTCAACCGCTTTTTGAATCCATTGCCCATGTCGGCTATACCTTATCTGGCTGGTTCTCAGAGGGAATGACCCCCATAAACCATCCCCTATGACTTTCTCTGAGGGAATCCCTAGGTTCATTCCCAACACCCCGGGTCATTCCCTACTGAGCACCAGCAAGTTATGTATCCTGAGCCATGGTCCAAAGGAAACTCAGCGAATCTCCAGGAACGGTGGGGCGCTAGGGGGCTGAGAAACACGCAGTTCTGTCACAAGCTGGGTCGGCATTTTCTTCAGACTGCTGGTTTAATATATAGGGCGGCTAACTGAATAGAGTGGGGTTGGGCAGTCATCATCATCGTCATCGTCGTCGTCGTCTTCTTCTTCTTCTTCGTCGTCGTAACAAACCAATGTGTATGCATTCAGCCCCTTTATGTTTGATGCTTAACAGTCCTGTGCCTGTCACCGGCCAACACTTAAAACATGTCAACACCAAAAAACAAAAACGAAGAAAGATCCTTGAGAGAGGTAGCCTACTGCCCTGGCGAAAGTTTGTAGCGAGCCAATCAACTGGAATCCAAGCCACGTCTCCTGGCCAAAAAGGGGCCAAAGTCTTCTTTTTCACACCAATGTTGCCCTCACCACCACCAGGTGCCTTCACGTGAACACCGGATGCTTGAAGGAAACCGAAAGAAGTCCGTCCGTTTCTCGCGGTCAATTTCGGAGTCTCCGACCGTTCCCGATGCACGACAACCTGCAAACACATCCATGGTGACCTCGTTTTGGTGGGCTCGCCAGGCAGACCCTAAGTTGTGTCCTTCGCATCGAGGGGGTTCACCCCTAAACCATCTGGTCGGGGGCAAAGCGCCTCGTAGAATGGCTGTCCAGTTGCTATGTACCCCATTTCCCATTTCCATGCGGTGGGCAACCCACTTCGATCACCGGAGCTCGCAAAAAAGGACCTTTCCAGGTGCTGGAGCCAACTGGGCCAAATGAAAGATCCCACAGGTGTCACCTCCTATCTCGTGGAAAGGCCTAATGCATCCAATCCAAGGTGCGAGGGTCTCGGCATTGTCCTCGCCCATGGCAGCTAAAGGGATCTGCTCTGATTTCCCCAAAGCACCTGGGCCTACTTCAGGCAGCCGGATTGATCTTTGCTCATTGAGATGTCGACTATTTGAACAGAAAAAATCATCTGATCATAGGAAAAGATTTGCAACAGCGTGTCGGGGGGGTGGCCCTCTGGTTCAAACCTGGGACTGAGCGACTCTTGTTCGCCCAGCCTCCTTTTGGCTTCAAAGCCCGCCTCTTCTCAAAGAGGAAAGACCCGTGACAAATGAGTTAGCAAATTACTGTTCTGTGTTGCTACTTTTTGAAGCAGCCCACCATAATCAAAACCAAATAACCAACTAATTAAAAGAACGAGCCAAGTCATGGCTGCTCATGGGCGGCTACCGTGAAAGCCAAACTCTGCAGGCACTCTGCATGTTTTCGCCGTCGGCCCCTTCCGGTCTGCAAGCCTGGGTCCCTTTGGCGGACTGGTCGTTTTGTGCCTATCCCGCAAACACGTCATGCTGTCAACCCTCCATAAGATTCTGAGGCACGCATCCACGTGCCTCTCTCCTTCTCTTACACTTTCAATAGGCAATGGAGGGGCCTGTCATGCGCGACATTGGAATGCCGAAGGGCGCGATTACGCAGCTTTCAGCTTTTGTCCCACAGCTCCACCCCATCACCCAGAGCTCTAACCCTGAAGACCGCGGTTAACTTGAGGAACAGCCAAATAGGGACCTCCTCACGTTGACTTCTGGCTACGCCTCAAAGAAACCATGTGCAAGCTGTACTAGAATTCCAAAAGCTGAATTGAGGGATCCCCAATTCAAATGACCTACATTCTGGTGAGCTCGTCTTACCCCAGGTGAGCTCGCCACAAAATAGGCGCAAACAGTGGAAGCGCGCGAGCCCGTGTCGCACCGGACTTCTGGACGAGGCCCCTTCCAAATGCTAACTGAACCCCTTGGTGTTTCTCAAAAATAGAGGTCACTCGGGCAAGACTCCTTTTGGGTTTCCCTTTCAATAACCAAAAAGGAGTCCACAAGTTTGAGAAACGCACCAGAAGGCCTTTTGCTTTTTAGAGGACGCACCAGAATGCTGGTTTCCCTCGTGGCATCCCTTTAGGCCCCCGAAAAACTGGTACCCCCAAGCCCCACAGGGCTGCACCAAATGACGCGCAACGGTGGTCCTTTTTGGGTTTCTTGGAACCAAAAAAGGGCACCCTCCAAAAAAACAGACACATGGGGGTTGATCAAGGGGTCCTTTACATGGGATGACCATGTAGGAAAACCACTCAGAAGATGCTGTGTCCTACTAAATGGGAAAAGTTAGCTTGGGGGCCAGGAATATTGATCAAGCCCCACATTTCCATGACCCAATGATTCGCTGGCACCAGTTAAACGCGATCTGAAGACCAATATTCCAGCTCTTTTGCTTCAAATTTAGTCACCAATGAAATTTGAATCACTTGCTAACCCTGCCCGGAAATTGCGTAATGCCAGGGGCCGCATAAATACATATATAATGTCATTGTCGTGACTTGATTTGGTTTTAGCGCACCCACAACCCTATTTTGCACCCGTTCGGGGCACTTTCTGGTTTGGCCCGGTTTCCCTTTGAACAAATGGAACCCGCTTCTCGCTACCACCTGAGCCCAACAGAAAAAAGTCCCGCCTGCGGTACACCTCCTGGATCTCCTCCTGGACCTGCGCGTGGCTGTGACTTGGTGTCAGGAGCTGTGATGTCAAAAGTGTGGCCCCTACTTTTGGCACGAGGCCGCCGCGTGCGGGATCCCCTTTTCGCCAGGTGTGGGATCCAGCCCACTGTGCAGCCCTGACCCCTTTACCCAAGTTTCCACACGTGAACGTGGGTCAGACTTGTGGTGCGCCGCCTACTAATCCACACTGAATGACACGTGGATAAGTGTGAGAATGATTGAACATGTACTGCCTCTATTCATCCATCACGTTCACAGCCATTCCAGTAGTCTTGCAGCCTAAAGGCAAACAATTGCTTTGCCAATTTTGGGGCGACCTGTTTGGATTGGTGGCTTAAAAAGGAAAAGGCGATCAAAGGGAAGCCACACAAAACAAACTTTTTGAGGGCAAGCTGCTTAGATTGGTTGCTTAAAAGGCAAAGGGTACACCAGAGCACCTGGACCCAAGCAACCGCTTCAACATTGGGAAACCCCCCTTTCGGTTGAATAGTTTGAAGGTCCCACTTGGGGATCCGGGTCAAAAGCACCCGGACCCGGACCCGTCCCACGGGTCATTCCCATGACTACTTGTTCACTTTGAATCAGTTTCCCTTGGCTCAATGCAAAGTGGCAACCTCAAACCCCCGCTTTGCATAACCCTTATTTGTGGATCCCTTGCTAAAGATTAGACTTTCAGCGGGATATTGCATAACCTCGAAACTCAAAAAGTCTAAACGACTGGGAACCGCCAAGAACAACTTGCTTGTGGACCTCCGAGAAAACTGTTTGGAGCAAAAAGTTGGGGGTCAACAAAACCGGGGTCCTGTTTCCCACTGGCTTGGTTGGTGCTTGTAATTAAGCCTCTCCTCCTTTGCGAGCAATGTGTTTAAAACGACCAATCCCTCACAAAAAGTTCTGACAGAACTCCTGGCAGCTCCCAAACTCTTGCGGAAAATCGATCCCCCCAGCAACCCTCGCCCTTCCGGCCGAACCCCGGAGCCCAACGGGAGCGGGAGTTGGTCCACTTCCCCATGGGCGGCCTTTGGGAAAAATAGATAGCCCTGGTAAATGGCAGAAACCCCACCTTAACCAGTGCCTCCAATTCTTTAATCAAACTCACCCAAAAAGGACACCTGTGCACTTCCCCCCGCCTTCTGGAAGCAGCCCATGAACTTCTCGCGCCTTTGTCGCCGCAGCTCCTGGAAGCTCCGCTCCGCCACCTGGACCGAGAAAAGTCCCGCGCAGTCTGGCTGTCTCTCATAGGAACCCCCAGGGTCGGCCTCATTTCGGTCTCCTTTCAACCGGTGAAAAGCGCTGGGGCGGGCGGGGGGGGGGAGTTCCTCTTGTGTGACCAAGTGGTACAGCCCAAAACAGGAGCTCCAAAATGTTGCTCATGCATGGCTTTGACATCCGTTTTCAAACGTCTCTGCGCAAGTTACTTCCCTTTCTCCGGCATGGCACCAGGAGGATACCTGGCAGATCGAGTTCCTCAAGAAGGGTTCGTTTGTGTTTGTGCGTGTGTGGTGTTGCGTTTGGTTTGCTTGTTTGTTTGTTTGATTCTTTGTTTGTTTGTTCGATTGTTAGTTTGTTCGGTTGGTTTGTTTGGTTCGTTTGGTTTGGTTTGTTTGGGGCGGTTTGCGCAACGTGGGGTCTAATTCAGGGAGGAAAGCAGCCCCTCGTAGCAGCCCGTTGGGACCGCAATTGACCGCTGGGCACGGCGGCTCAACTTCTTTCGATGGCTTATTCATACCAAAACTGTTTAAACACACCTATTGTTGGAAGGTGATTGGCTGAGAGGTCAGCATCTCCCGTCTTGAGCCGGGCTAGTGTGAACCCCTCAAGCTGGAGCCACCGTCGCAACATCCGAACACAAACCTGCTTCGAGCTTCCATGTTGAGCTTCTGAGGCACAGAATGCTTGCTCTGGCTTCGCTCGAGGAACCCCGGCCTCCATCTTCTGCCTGATCCGCTGGACCTGGCAAACTCGAATCCTCCAGCTCATTTCAGCAAACGCGCCTGCTCAAACTGGCTGTTTCCGCAAAACGTAGCGGAAACAAATAACTATACAAAACACGACATAACGTGGCGTGCGTCGATTTCCCCTTGGACACCAATCCAACAAGGCATGTTGGCCTGAGAGCTCATAGACTTGAAGCATCGACCCAGATCCCATGCCGAAGAGTCACGCGCCCAATTGAGAGGAGTGTGCGTTCTCCATTGGGAAGCCCAGTTTCGGATTGATTTTTGGAGGGTTCTACTAAGATGGTTCTAATGGCGTTTATAGCCATTTCTAGCGCCACCCTTGGACACCGTCAGTGGATTTGGGAAAAGAAGGACAGCCCGTTGTTTGGTTGATTTTTGAAGGGAAGCCCCGGGCAAAAACGGACAAGGAAAACCTTGTTCAGTAATGGGAACCCTGAATGAAGCCTCCCGTTTAGTGGTTGGATTCAGACCACTGTTGGAGAGAACAAGCGTATTCATACTGCGGATGTTCCATTTCGCACCAATCAAGAAAACCTGGAATGATTCGATTCCCCAACATAAATACCCAGCAAACCTTATGGTTTGCAGCCATGGATTCATGTCGTGGTGCGAGTTCGGACTTCGCAGCCATCCACAGCACGGGTTTTATGCGTCTCGTGGCCTCTCGCTCCGCAGCCATGGCTTCCTGGTCTGCTTGCTCCAGCTGCTCGAAGGCCTTGAAGCTGGGCGTTGCGGGGCCCAAAGAGAGACTAGCAGCGGATGGGTGTTGGGGGGGCTGAGAGGGGCCGACCCGGTTACAGTAGGCTTCAAAGGGTTCTACTGGCAGCGCATGGGTTTGCAGGTCGCTTCAAAGGCTGCTACTCCTGTGCTCGTCTGTTGTTGGTAAGGTCCATTAAACATAACATGTGCCTAACCGGCTCCACAGGCCCCTATAAAAGCAAACTTGGAGACAGGGTCCCAGCTCCGAGTCCGGCTTTGACTCCAACTTTATCGTTTTGCTGATTGAAATGAGGGGATGTCCCTCGCGTTTTCCTGTGAACCAAGGTGAAAACGGTGCCCTCATTGACTTGTCCCCAAAACAAGCGAACACGCCCATTCCCACAAAGCGACATGTTTTCGGCCGAGTGAGCCCCTCTCCAAAAAGGACATCCGCCCATGAGCCCCTTGCAACAAATCAAGGCTCCGAGAAGAAAAAAACAGCCTCCTTTGGTTCCCCAAACCCATTCGGCCTTCCATGGTAAATGTTGTTCGGTCCGCTGGTTCACAGTTAGTGGACTCAAATGGTGACGAGTGTCCTTCGCGCCTCCGAACCAAGCATAGGGGACCCTCATTCTGGCACACACACCCCGGGCCAAAAATGCACGAAAGGAGTTGAACGCAACATGTGAATGAGATCCACGGAATCCATGACTCAAGTCTCTGGGCAACTTGCTTCTTGAAGGACATGAGCCCAAGTGCCCCCCCAAGCCACTGCAAGAGCCATGTACATCGTCCTACTCAACTCGTGCCTTCAGGTTAGGCTGCAGCTGCTCCAACTCGCCCGCGAGGCCTAGCGGAGGCTCGTGGGATCATCGAACGGAAGAGGACGGGGACAATCTCCATAGCGTTGGGTAGTCTTCCACAACCCTCCTGTTAGCTTCCGTGATTGGAGGGAACTGCGCGTTTGTTCTTAGTTCTTCCAGCCTTTTGACACATTCTCAGTCTGACTCGATTCGTGGCTTTAGTTTTGAGCGGAAGCACTGAGAAGCGGGGCCGGGGTGGGCCCTTTCCACGCCAGAAAAGAGCAAGCAGTGCAAGGCACCGTGTCTGAAGCTTGTCCCGCTCGCTCCGCTTTGCGGCTCTGACTCCGTGGTTCTTTGCTGTCAGGGCCAGGACGGCGTGCTCGGGCGGAGCGGCCCTTCAGGCAGCGCGCATCGTTGATTTCTCTCCGGGCAAACTACTACAAGTCCCAATTCGGGAATAACTGCCATGTCCTTGCAGGACTCCCTGTAGCTCCTTAGCAGTGCTCATCATTTAGGGGCATGCAGGGACAAACCCTCGTCTCTTGCCAGTGCGAGAGCAGCATATTTGGACCGTGGCCCATACACACCTAGTTCGTACGGAGTGGAATGTGCTTGATGCCCAGAATAAAACGGAAATAATGGGAACACCCCCAAAAATGGTTGGTGGACACAACCCCCCTCTCTGTAAATGATGTCAACTAAAGTACCCCGAGAAACGAAAGCACCCCCGGGTGTGGCTGGGCTCCCCCGGCGCCGCAGCTCGCCGCGGTACTCCTCCTCCAGCAGCTTGGAGGCCGGACCTGGAGGCCGGGAAAGGGCGACGTGCTTTTATTTTCTCGCTTGTTGGGGAGAAAAAACCTAGGGGGGTCTACTGGGGAGGGGGGCTCTACTGGGGGGGGGCTTTCTATTGTTCTGCTCCTCCTTTTGAGTAGAGTCCGCTGAGGAAAAACCTACGCAACAACCAGCCCTAAAGTAGCCCCAAAGCAACCCTAGAGCAACCCGGAAATAAACCGCAAACAAACCCAAAGGGTTCTGCTCCACTTGTTTTGGCAAAGTCCGTTAGGTCGACGTGGTTGGGGTTCAAAGGGTTCCAGCACTGTTCTTTTTGTGGGCAAGGTCCCACCAAATATACCGTGTGCTTGCAGGACTCCGATCGGCTCCGGAAGAGTCCGGCTCCCTTCCAAGCACCAGCTAGTTAAACTTACCACTTGACCCTAGAGAGAGGTGTGTCTTGATTTTGAGGTAACCCTCTTTGGGGGGACAAGGGAAGACGTCTGGTGCTTTGGTCGGGTTTTTCCGCGCTCCCGGAAGAACTGTGCGCCGATCGGTTCCATTTGAAATAGGTGAAATCCTATGGGACCCCGCCTTGTTGAGACCCGGCCCCCTATGCCGAGTACGTACTGATGGAGGATTTATGAACTTTTGGTGTTTAGATGAGGCCCTTCTATCGCACTAGCTGTCGCTTCTTCTGTCTGAGCCAGACCCTCGAACTCCCCAAAGTCTGAGCTAAGGGATCAGGTGAGTGACCTTCCTGGGGAGCTTGTTTTACCTCATTCAGAAAGGGCTCCCAGGAATCATTCAAAACTGTCGCTCAGCTGGAGCATTCTCTTGAGCTAGTCAAGCGCATACAAATTTCTTCAGGTGGATTTCAGGGACCTCTCTGGGTCTCTCTTCTTTGAAGGCAGCTTGAAAAAAAAATGTGGAAACCGCACAATGATTTGCGGGTTCCCCTCTTCGGAGACGCACCCTCAACTCGCTGGCTCGATTCCGGTTCGCGAAGCTCGCCTCCGGCGGCTTCTCGCCGTGCCTGCCGACGCAATCCATTTTCAAGCCTAGGGATCCTTACATTATACACCTGAACATTGCCTTGTAAGTGGTGGTGTCCCTTTATTGTGGTGGAAAAAGCCATGTTTCAAATGGGCAAAATGTATCTTTTAAGGAGCCCTACTCATGGGAGCTGTTTCTTGCCCACGAAAACCTGAGAAGCTAAACCAACTCTAGATGGCGCGTGCGCAAAGTCGCTGTCCGTACCAAGCAGACCGCCGGTGACAAGCTTTAGACTCTGGGTCATAGTCATAGTCATAGTGAAGCCTAAAATACAGGAGAACCAAAAGGAAAGCCACCGTTTTGGGGTGGTGCCCCTATTTTCGAGCCAAACCCTATTCAGTGCACATGTTTTAATATTGATGGATCTGGAGAGTTTCCTATTCCACCTATAGTTTCCTTTTGGTGGTTTCACCTTTTGGTGCCCATGTATGGTGGGTTTCCTTTGTTAAAGGCATCTGCCAAAAGGGATCCATGCCAACGGGGAATCCACAGACAGCTCGTCTTTTTTAAGCCTGGACCCTCCAGAATGGCGGCTGTGTGTCTTTTTGGTTTCCCTTTTAACCACCCCAAAAGCATGCATTCAAAAACTCGCGGGTTCTCAGCAGGGAGTGAGGGAGTGACCCCTAAGAATTGGTGGTGGTTTCCGTCAAGGGAATCCCCTTCCGGTTCATTCCCGACTGGGTCATTACCTACCTATCGCACCAGCAAGAAAAATGGTATTAAAATGGTCTACCAAAACCATGTAAAGAGCTGCAAAGAGGCGGCCGCACCTAATTCTGGTTGGGCCTGTCCCTTACTAACCTTCACTTAGCCGGGTTTCGATTTCGGCTCAAAGGTGAAAAGGAAATACAGGGACCCCGTCCCAAGAGATCCAGACATCGCCTCGGGCAGTTGCTGGTAGTCCAGCTGTACATCCAAGCTCAGCTCGGAGCTGGGCCTGGCCATCGCAAGGAACGCAAGGAGCGCTGGTTTTAGTCCTTGGTTCAGTTTACCAGGGCAAGCCATTTTGGGTACCCAATTGTGACCCACAGCTATGTGTGTGTGTGTGTGCTTTCCCGATACGTTTGAACAGCAATGCCCACATTCTTCCAAGACCATTCTGGAGCCAATACCCCTAATTGAACTCACATCAACAACCTTTCCATTCAAACGAACCCAAGGATTTCCGTTCCTCTAAGATGGAACAGCCAAAACGCAAGGAGCTGCAAACCCAGGACCCAACTACACCACAACCCAAAAACGCACCCCCCAACACCCCAGCCCAGCCCATAAGCTGCGCAGGCTCCGCTCGGACCCCACGGCCACCGTCGCCTGAAGAGCGCCCCAGGCGCCCCAACTCATCAAAAGGCATGGGTGGTTGGGCGGGACTGTTTTGGGTTGGTACCCTTTCTTGGGGTTTGAAAGGGAAGCCACAAATAACCAACCATTCTTGGAGTGGCACTCCCTTTGTTTCACCCCTGTGGCTTAACATGCACCCGGAAGCTCACTCATTTGACTCCGCTTGGGAGGAATTATATTCCCTTGCAAATTTGCAGAAGCAACAGAAAGAATTCGGCCCAAAACGAGAAAAGGAACTCCCCCCCCAAAAAGAATGAAAGAAAAGAAGAACAAGTCCCGTTTCCCCTTGGTGTCTCTCAACAATACAAAATAAGGGCGCCAGCTAAAAAAATAAAGACGCCCCCCGCCCCACGAGGAAAGCTTACATCCTGAAAACATGCATCATTTTGCAACAGCCTAAGAGAAAGATGGGTTGAGTCAAAGGCCAAACCTCTCGACCAATTTGGGTCCCTGAAGGAGCCACCAAATTGAATAGCGTGATAACACCACAATTGATCTTAAAACAACTCCTTTTGATGTCAACCCCGTGTTTTCCGGGAGGGAGGTCAACCGATTCTTTCAACCGCTTGTGACACCAGCTTTCCGGGCTGGGTTTGAATAGGCCTGCCAAGTATCCCAGCCCCGGAACCGCTCAAACAAAATCCTCGCGTGGCCAAGACTGCGAATGGGTGGCTCTCCGACCCCCAAATGGTGGGTGTTGAGGGCAACCGAAAGGAAATCCACTGGAGTGTCCCCTACACCCATATGATAGCCAAAAGGGCGTAAGTGTTGGTCGCGGACCCAACCTGGTGGACATCATTTAGGTGGAGATTTATGTCCATTTTTGAGAGGTTCCCTGTTCAAATCCTTAGCCATATGTGGGAAACTCGTTTGAGAGCATGGGATTTGCTTCCAAAGAGAAGGGTGGGCCCAACCGCAGAAAGCTCAACAGGCACTATCTGGGTCCTGGGTGTTGTCTTCGGGCGAAATTAGAGTCTATGTTGAAGCCTTAATCCATGAATCCCCGACGGACTCATCAGATGTGTAATCAAACCCCTGATTTCTGACTTTCTGCGGGAATTGTTGATCCGGGGTGACAGGCGTGCTCTAAAGCTTCGATCAGCGGTCCAAATCCCAGCCCTCAGTCAATATCCCTTTCAAGGAAGCCCAAAAAAGGCTGTTGCAACTATTTCAAAGGCACCCCCTGTTCAATATCACCCTTCCAGCCATTCACATGGAAACCCTCCCAAGCTCCCTTTCAGAATGGCCTTACAGGGTCCACCAGTCAGGTTCCAAGTTAGCTGGTGGTATGTCATTGGCCCCTCCAAACTCCGAAAAATCCAAAACTCTAAGGGAAGCGCATGGCCCCCCCAAACCCCCCCCCCTTTTCGTGGAGCTTCATTCAGCTCTCCAAGTCTCCCGGCGGCTCTCCGCAGAGCCTTTTGGCTCTCCTTCTTGGAGCCCAGGAACGGCAAGTCCACGTCCTCCAGGCCCCGCATTTCGGGGGACGCCCGGGTGGATGTACAAAGGGGTCGGGCAGCCCCCCGACTCAAAAACAAGGCCCCAGAAGTAACGATGTGTCTTTTATCAGACAGGCAAGGATAATATGATTGTATGGTGCAGCATGGACTTTTCAGATATATATATATATATATGTAAATATAGATACATATTATATATATAATTATATACGCAAGTGTGCATATATTGCTGTATTATATGTATAAATGGTCAGCCTTCACAACATGGATTAGCACGATATGAATTGGGGGGGGGGGGCATGACTTTTCACCCTGGCCAGCCAAATGATGACAGGCGTCCTGAGCTCGAAAAAGGAGGCTGACAAGCCAGTTGGCCAACAATCTCAAGTTTTGGCCTGATTGGTTGGTTGGTTTGTTGGCTGGTTGGTTGATTGGCTAGCTGGCTGGCAGGCTGGCTGGGATTCAAGGCGGACCTGCACCGTCACGAAAACAAATGCACCCAAACTACAATACACCTAAAGATGGTTGGCTTGCTGCTTGTATCCAACATGCTGTACCCCCGAAGCCCCATCAGCTTGCGGTCCCTAGAAACCACCCTAACACACCTAACCTCTAACCTCATTCAAAGAGTACCTGACGCGCGGGGGTACCTGACGTGCAGGCTGGATGGGGGGGGGGGAATGAGGCGGTTAGTTAGTTAGTTAATTAGTTAGTTGGTTAGTTAGTTAGTTAGTTGGTTGGTTAGTTTGTTTGTTTGTTGGTTAGTTGCCGCACGGGCTGGGGGAAAGGTACCTCACACGCGGGATCGGGTTTGGCAGTACCTGACGCGAGGAAAGGGGGGTTACCTGACGCGCGGGATCACGCGAGAGGGTGCCTGACGCGCGGGATTGCTGGGGACCTGCGCGCAGAGGCTGGAGGACCGGGGGGGGAGGGGGTAGGTGGTTAGAAAATTAGTTAATCTGTTAGATAGTTACGAAGTTAGTTTGTTAGTTAGTCAGCTGGCTAGCTACAAACGAGTTAGTTAGTTACTTAGTTCGTCCTTAGTTAGTTGGTTAGCTGCCATGTGAAATGGGGGGATACTACAAACCTGACGCGCGGGATCGTTAGGTAGCAGGCGCGGCTGGAGGAGGGGAAAGGGAGGCTCAGTTGCCGCTAGCCCGTCACGCCCGGAATTGGGAAAGGAGGTACCTGACGCGCGGACTGTCAGGCGCAGCATCGGGCCAGTGGTTGGGCTGGAGGAGGGGGCGGGTGTAGAGCTGGTTACTTAATTAGTTAATCAGTTAGTTACTTAGAAATTTAGTTAGTTAGTTAGTTAGTTACTAGGTAGTTTGTTACTTAGTTAGTTAGGTACTCAGTTAAATAGTTAGGTTAAATAGTTAGTTAGTTAGTTAGTTAGTTAGTTAGTTAGTTAGTTAGTTAGTTAGCTACTTAGTTAGTTAGTTAGTTAGTTAGTTAGTTAGTTGGTTAATTGATTAGTGAGTTGGTTAGTTGGTAGCTGGTGAGTGAGAGAGCTAGCGAGCTAGGGTTAGTACCTGACGCGCGGGATCGGGCGTGGCGGCCTGACGCGTGGAAGGAGGCGCAGCATCGAGGGATTGCGCACGACGCGCGGGATCGGGAGGGGGGATAGTACCTGACGCGCGGGCTAGTCAGAGAGGGTAATGTGTTTAGATAGTTAGTTACTTCGTAAGTCAGTCAGTCATGTGGTTAGTTTGTCCCTGACGCTCGACGCGCGCGGATGACAAATAGTAACTGACGCGCGGATCGATATAGCGGGCTACGACGCGCGGAAGAGGGCATAGTAGCTGACGCGCGGATCGGGATAGCGGATAGTAGCTGACGCGCGGATCGCGCTGGGCGGTACCTTACGCGCGGCGATAGGGGTGCCTGACGCGCGGAGAGGGGGATAGTAGCTGACGCGCGGATCGGGATGGGTGACGTGGGAAGGAAGGATAGTAGCTGATCCGCCTAACCTCTGACCTCATTCAAAAGTACCTGACGCGCAGGGGTACCTGACGCGCGGAGTTAATTGGTTGGTTGGTTGGCTGGTTGGTTGGTTAATTGCCGCAAAAGCTGGGACCTCACGTTTAGGCGGTACCTGATGCGCCACGCGTGAGATCGGAAGGGGGTATCTTGTGAGAGGGCGCTTGACGCGCGGGATCACCGAGGACCTGATGCGCAGAGGCTGGAGGACCGGGGGGGAGGGAGGTGGTTAGTTAGTTAGTTGACATTTGTTTCAGATTTTGTTCACCCCTCTCCTCCAATGTTAACGGGTTCTTAAGGTCGTCCACCTTTGCCGGCAGATACGACCCTGAAAGGGCCAGCGCGTCCTGACAGGACTTGCTGAACCCCCGGAGGTGCTTCACAAGCCGCTCCGCTTTCTGCCTCGACGCGTTCCGCTCGAGCTCGGGGTGGCGCGAGACTAGGACCCTCACGACCACGCTCAAAGCGCGGGTCCTAGGCCACTCGTGTTTGTTTTTTGCCTTTTGATGAAAAGTCAAAAGAAGAACAAAGATCAAGGCTAAGCGCAGGTTTGCGTCCGCAGAATACCCGAGTGCGGCTGGTGGTGGCCGTTTCCAGGCGCTTATAGAAGCTCCTGAAATTGGCTTTGGTTGCCACGTCGAGGATTTTCACCGGGACTTCCGTGACAAGCCCGTGCTCCAGCAAAAGGGATACCAAGTGTTTGTAGTAGCCCAAATGCGACTCCTGCAGTCAAAGCCGAAAAGGTTCACAAGAAAGAAGCGACAAATCACAATAAAGATAACTGATAACTGTTTTCCAAATGGCCTGGGTGTCACGGCCCAGGATCGAGGAGCGCCCGCCGCCCCTGACCATGGATTTGCCCGTGAGCTGTAGCGGTTCAGCTCCTCCTGGCAGACCTCGTCGTAGGTGCGACGGTGTTTCTGCCTGCCCTCGTCCGTCAAGTTTGACCTTGACTTCCGGGCTAGTTGGCGAGTTAGATAGTTAATCAGCTAGTCAATTAGTTAGTTTGTTTGTTTGTTAGTTAACAAGATAGGCAGTGAGTTGGCTCGTTAGTTAGTCAGGTAGCAAGCTAGCGCTAGCTAGCCAGTTAAGTAATTAGTTAGTTACTTAATTAGTTTGAATCGGGTTAGGTAGTACCTGACGTGTGGGGCGCTATGATGCAGGAGGGTGGGGGTTGGGTGGTTAGTTAGTTAGTCAGTCAGTCAGTCAGTCAGTCAGTCAGTCAGTCAGTCAGTCAGTCAGTCAGTCAGTCAGTCAGTCAGTCAGTCAGTCAGTCAGTCAGTCAGTCAGTCAGTCAGTCAGTCAGTCAGTCAGTCAGTCAGTCAGTCAGTCAGTCAGTCAGTCAGTCAGTCAGTCAGTCAGTCAGTCAGTCAGTCAGTCAGTCAGTCAGTCAGTCAGTCAGTCAGTCAGTCAGTCAGTCAGTCAGTCAGTCAGTCAGTCAGTCAGTCAGTCAGTCAGTCAGTCAGTCAGTCAGTCAGTCAGTCAGTCAGTCAGTCAGTCAGTCAGTCAGTCAGTCAGTCAGTCAGTCAGTCAGTCAGTCAGTCAGTCAGTCAGTCAGTCAGTCAGTCAGTCAGTCAGTCAGTCAGTCAGTCAGTCAGTCAGTCAGTCAGTCAGTCAGTCAGTCAGTCAGTCAGTCAGTCAGTCATTAGTTAGTTGATGAAGTAATTAAAAAGCTAGTTAGAAAGTTGTTCGTTGTTAGTTAGTTGGTTACTTGCCCCACTTCCTGCGGGGATAATACCTGACGCGCGGGATCGAGTAAGGCGGGAAGGTTAGGCGCAGCGTTGGGAAATTGCGCATGACACGCGGGATCGGATAGGGGGTGCCTGACGTGCGGGAGGAGGATAGTACGGGAAGTTAGTTAGTGTACCTGACGCGCACGGAGGCTCCAACTGCACGAAACAATGTGGTAACCACACACAACAAGCAAACTATGAGGCCCAGTGGAAATTTCCAACTTCATTCATGAACGGCAGCAGGCCGACCCGCCAAAAAACCGGCATTCACACACACACACACAACAAGCAAACCTTCTTAGCTTTTTGGCTTCTCGGCTTCTTGGCTTTTCTGCTTCCGGTTGGTTTATGCGGCTTTTTCTGGCTAATTGTTGGCTTTGGTTTTTCGCATCCTCTGCATTCCCAGTTCCTCTCCGGCAGGTGGCGTTTTGGCTTTTGCGGCTTTTCGCTGGATTATGCGGCTTTTGGCGGCTTATCCTCTGCTTTCCCAGTTCCTCTCCAGCACGTTGTTTTTGTCGTTGGCTTCCCGCATTCTCAGCATCACCAGTTCCCCTCCGGCAAGTGTTCCGTATATTTATGTTTAAGTTTATGTATGTCTGCATGTATGTATGTAAGCTATGTAATCTATGTATATGTATGTCTGTATGTGTGCACTTCTTCAAACATCATAGGGGAAGCCGCCCCAGCCCCCCGCTGCGAATTTATGTGACACCTTTTCTTGAATCATGGCGCCCCCAATAATTAATTGAATCATCACCCTTTTCGCTTATGATGGAGGGGCCTGCCCAACCCCCCCCCCCCCCCTGGTACTTTGAAGATTCTCTACAGAGATTGATTTGCACCCCTTTTTGATTCCCCACAGAGATTGAATTGCATGAATCATCACTTCTTCGAGCATCATGGCAGGCTGCCGCCACCCCCCAACCCCCCCGCCACTTTTTAGATTCTCTAGAGAGATTCAACTGCGCCCCTGTTTGAATCATGGGGGGTTGAGTTGCACCCTTATTTGAATCATCACTTTTTCGAGCACGTCAACCCGCTTGCTACTTTTTAGATTTGTTTACTGTTGACGGGCTATTGTAAAATACGTAAATTGCTTGACAAAATGCTGCAAAAAAACGACGTATGGATGGTAGCTGACAAGTGGATCGGGGGATAGTAGTGACGCGCATATTGGGGTGAAGGGGGGACAGCAGCTGACGCGTGGATCGGGATAGGGGGTACCTGACGTGCGGATAGGGGGATAGTAGTAGCTAGCGAGCGGATCGGGATAGGGGGTACCTGGATGACGCGCGGATCGGGATA